CTAGTTAAAGGAAGCCAGGAGGTGTCCAAGCAGCTGGCCTCGTGAGAATGAGCTTTGTTTAGCCTCTACTCAGTGACCTTTCAAGCAGGATTGGACTTGGGACTGTGAAAAGCCATCCTGTATAGCTCGCAGGGTCATAGAGGCAAACAAGTCATCACACCACGTCAAGGTGCATTCGCGTTGTGATGGTAAAAGAACTTACGATAAACAGAGTTCACAACGCTTTAACTGAGCGGTCAATTGCTAGGTGTGGCTCGTCTCTATTAGCTAAGCTAACAAGTTGGATAAGATAATAGTATAGCACCGTATTATCGTGATGAAAAACATGTTGCTTCTGAATTGTGAATACTAAACTGAATTCGTTCTACTGTACATAATATTTATAGTACTTGTACTTACACTTCAAACATATGCAGTTATCTACCAGGATCGGCAGACAACACATTCATGGCATATAATCAGTATCATCAACAAACCGTAAGTTAACTCACTTGTTCCATCGCCTCTATGGTTTCCTTAGGGGCAACCACAATTGGAGCTTCCTCGATGATCTTCTGGTGCCGACGTTGAACAGAACAGTCACGACCAAACAGACTGATGGCTTGACCATATTCGTCAGCCACAAGTTGTACTTCCAGATGACGGGCGTTCTGAGCGCACTTCATGAGGAATATGGGTGATCCAGGAACTTCGGATTGAACCTGAATGAACGTATCACGAAAAACATGGTCAATTTCAAAATACGGAAAGTTATAAGACAATGAAATTTGTGGAGATGCGTATCTTACTGGGCAAAGAAATATATGCTCAGAGAGCATCATCAGCGCTGGGAATTGTAACGTAGATGAAAAATGCATACAAATCATTTTATTTCTGCACTGGGTGAAAATGAGAGCAAAAGATAGAAAAGTTCAGAATGTACTTCAGAAAAGCTTCCGTCATCAATATTCCGTGAACAAAAGACGGTCTACTCGTGTATACCTCAAACTGGAAACATTACGCTTTATTCATCACTCAAATGTATAACCCTCTGGATTGTTACATTTAACATGTACCACCATCACGACGAGACTACACCTTGACGTGGTGTGATGGCTTGTGCACTGCTGTGACCCAACGAGCTACACAGGATGGCTTTATGAAGTCAGGAGATCTTATCGTTCCTGGAAGGCTAATGGGTAGAGGTCAGATGAAGTCCAGCCTCCTGGTCCTCCAGATTGGGGGTTTGCCTGGGATTTGGCGTTTCAGTCGATAAGAAACGGTGGAGGAGTAATCGATCCAAGTAAATGGACCCACACTTCGCCTCACCCGCTGCCTTGCGGTTAGGTTCTTGTTAGAACTAAAGGCTTTGAATGAGAACCCTAATCGTTCTCCTGCTTAGTGGCTGGACACCCTAGCAGTACCCGTCCACCAAACCCCAATGCATACACAAAATAAAAATAATTCCATACTGCATCGGTCGTCGAGCAGGATAATCAGGACTGCGCTACCCATTGCATCGAGCGGGGTGGGTAGTGATAAGTGGGCTACT